TTGGTTTCAAGTAAAGACGAAGGTCCCATCGCTGCAAGCAGACTTGTGTATGATGGCCAATGGACTGGGACAGACCTCTAGAATTTAGAGACTCCAGATAGCCTTAGACATCCGATGGCACAGGGCTAAGCTTGAAGCCTAAGGCTCTCAAAATACACCTTAGAAACCTCAGGTAATTGTGCAGAGTCTCACACACATCTGAAGCAAGATTCTGGTCAACAGATGTAATACAGAAGGTCAGGGTGTATGCACACTGTTTATGTGTTACTGTAAAACAACAAAAGCCTTGTTTATGTTGCTTTAAGTTAAGGAAAGCAGTCATAAGAACAAACAGAAACTCTGAAAGTTGATATAGTGGACATTTTTCATTTGGAAATAAACATATATTATACATATATATATATATATGTATATGTATAGTATACTTATACAGCCCCTGCTATAGTGGCTCTGAATTCATTACATCTCAGGAGATAGAAATATTATAAAAACATAAGTAGTATTATGCTATAAACCATATATACATATATATAATTTTAATAGACATATATATGCATATAAATATGTATTTTAAGTTCATTCAAGTCCACAACACAGGAAGGAACAGAACACAGAGCCCACCAGCCATGCTGCTGCAGCTCTGCCAGACTGCAGCTCTCTGCACTCAGGCCCCTTTACCTAGAAATCCAAAGATACAGCAAGCAGAAATATTGCAATGGGTTGATTATTCCAACCACAAATTAAACTGAGTGTAATTTAGATGCAATAAAGTACAAATATATTGCAGTTTTTCATCATTTACTCTTAGCTTTTATTTTGTGATTTTGATGTGTTTGGTCAGTTAGTATGATACCAATACACGTACCTGGTTATTTCTGAGGTAAGACTCATCAAAAGAGTATAGTTCCAGGTAGGAATTTTAAATGCAGGCATTTAAGTAGAGCTATTACATTTAACAGTGTTAATATAACAGTCTAGTGACAAAGGATCAGAAACACATTTTATGTGAACATTTAAATGAACAAATCCTCAGCAAAAGTTCCTGATTTTCCCCTGCTTTATATACAACATTTCTTACTGGAAATCCGTATTGTGAGAAGTGCAAGTGCTGCACGTCTAGATGGACCCACAACAGACTTCACGTTATGTAGCTCAGGAACCAAAACTATCAAGCTACGGCTCCTCAGGCTTCACCACAGAAAACACAATCCCACCAAAACCCCTGCTTAGGTGTGACTCCCACACGTGCTGCAGTCTTTCACAAGACTACAGACACAACCTGAAAACACCAGCGCAGCACAGCTGTGCCAATACCACGGAAGATATCCAGCCACTACGAACACGTATCAGCCCTATTCCTCTGCAACAGTTTTCATTTCCTGGCACTACCAATTTAATATTCCTGAAATATGCGCAAGGACCTCGAACTGTTGGGACACAGTACGTAGAAGCTGTCAGCACCTGCAAATTTTGAGTTCCTTCCAAAACTACTCTCTGCAGACCAATATTCATCTCCTTCCTCATGGCCGTGACAGGCAGCACAGGTTACATTTCACTGGCGCTACCTTCCGCAGCTCCGGTGACTTGAACTGCGGAGGAGAGAGAGGGTGCTGAGGACACAAACATTACTGCTAGAAAGCTCAAACCTGGGAAGTGCACGGACTTCCTACAAGGTGTGTTAATCCTTCACCAGGCCACAACTCCACTGAAAAAAAAATAAATTAACAAATCACTGACGAGATCAGACTGTTTGGCACTAGTGTGCACTGCTGTAACTGACCTGATCCACTTGTTATCATAGCCTGGTTTAATTTATCTACGTAGGCAAAACCAAAATAATTTTACTTTCTTAATTAAGCTTGGACTTAGAAAATATCTACCCACAAGCTTAAAGGTAACCCTGGATTTAAATCTCATTCATTTCAGCAAGTACCTTCTTTTTTGCACCCCTAGGGCCATCAGCAAGTAGTCTAAATAATCATTATCAATTTAATTGTCATTTTTGCAACTTTTTGTCACATAAAAATGCATACTCTAGTTTGAACTCTGGCATAAAAGTGGAAAAGCCCTGAGTGTGTCCTTGCCACTCCTGCAGGTTTGACAGCCCGGGCACTGGGCCAGCTTGGGAAGAGCAGCGCTGGTGGCCTTGGAGAAAGCTCTTGTGAAGCAAGCTAGAGGCGTCAGCAAAGACTGTGTCTCTCCTTCCCCTGGGAGCTGCTTTTAGGCAGAAGCTGTCACTCTGTACCATGCCCGAGCCACGGCCCAGATGTGTCACTGCTGTCTGTGCATGGCCACGGCCCTGCTGCTCTGGGTCCAGACCCCTGGCTGATGTCCCCACCTGGCCTCAGCTCCATCACCCCTGGCCTGCCTGGCATCACGGGGGCGTGGCTGACCCCAGTCAGCATCACCGGACCTCATCCTGACCCTGCTGCAACTTCACAGCCTGGTCTAAGTGCTGCTGTGTCACGACAGCCCTATCTGACAATGGGGCTGAGGTGCGAAGGGCGCCGGTGGTGAGGCCCTGCCCTGATGGCCCTGTGGGGGGACCCACGGCTCCTGCTGCCCCAGCTCCCTGGGAGTAGTGCCGGGACAGCGTTAGGAAGGCAGACACAGACAAGTGCTGGACCAGACAGGCTCCTCCGAACTCAACACACTGTTAAAAGCCTTCCTGGGACCACATGCCACCACACGTGCTGTAGAAAACCCTGGCCCTCAAACACAAAGAAGCACACAGCTGTCATAACGCTGAAATCTGTCCTAACACTGAAATAAATTCACTATGAACAGACAAGACTAGAGATCTGTCAGCAATGCTATGTGGAGCCTGCTCTGTAAACGTAAAACATATTAACAGACATCAGGTTACCTAGAACAGATCGACGCGGCTACAACCGAAACAGAAAATGGCAGCTGCTCCCCTGCAGCCTGTAATCCACCTGCCCTTCCTCAGCTCACGTGAAGTCATTGCCCTCTATTTCAAGCCCCTCTGTGAAGGGCTTATTATTCAAAAATAGCTGTGAGGAACAACTGTGGTGGTATCTTGATAAGCAAATTAACCATTTGCTTCCAGTTATGGTCAACAACCTGCGCTCAAACAAGGGGAGTCCAAAGGTGGGACTATTTATGACATGTAATTGTTTACCAAACCGAGAAGAGACTTTTAAATCACAGTCCTTCCTGCCATTTTACTTCTCTTTGTACTTACTTAGCATATTAGCACTTCAGGGCTTCAAGGACCTGCTTTCCTAAGTCTTTACAAACCACTAACCATGCCAGTGGCACAGTATCAGGAATAAATAATCATAGCATCTCCTTCATAAACAAGGCACAATAAGGCAATCGTGCCCTGAAATGTACCGGGTGGAGTATCTCTTATGAAAGAATTCCTTTATTAATGCTTTGTTCACAGAGGGTGCGCCAATGAAACCGCAACGTACCCAAGTGCTGGTGTCCTGGTGTCTTGCTCCTCACCCATGCTGGTTACGAGTGCTTTGATTCTAAAAATTTGTTCTCATTATAAGGAGCATGGCCCCTAATCTAAATCTCTAACATACAAGAAGTTATTCTTAGTCTTCACGAGGCTGCAAGAGTCAACAGGTCTACCTCTGTGCATAAGCCAAAATTACTTTGGGGGTTAAAGAATGAACTCCCAGACCTCTCAAAATGTAAACAAGTCAAAATAATGGAAGCACCAAAACAGGGCTGAGTATGGCTGCAATGTGACGTTATAAGTACAGAAAAAAAAAAAAGTGGAAAAATACATTACCTATGCAGTGTTTTGTCATCTATAGTCAGATTTGTGAGAGTAAACGTCAGCCAACAGAATACAATGAAGAATTAGTTGCAACAAAGGATGAACTCAGTAAATGATCTACTGCGAGGCAGTGAGAACAGTTGTGCTCCTGTAAAAAAATAACTACGTCCACATGATTTGTTGTGGAGACGGCCTAGAGTAAAGTAAGGAGGGGATTCACGTGATTTATATGATGTTAATGGGTCACCAAGAGAGGAGTGGTGAGTAGTGCTGAGTGTGTCTCCCAATTAATTTACTTTACTTTCATCTTTAAATGGGAGTATAAAATGAAAACAAGCCTTCCCTTTGCTGCAAATGCAAAAGCATAAACCAATCTGAAAACAAGCAAAAAAAAAGAAAAAGGAACGAGCGCTCTCTTCTCTCCAAAGTTCCATTTCCTTTTTTTTTTTTTCTTCCTTTTTTTGTCCTTCAATTCCCATTCATAAACAGTGGCTGACGCCCAAGATACTTTCTAGGGCTGGTAATATTTTTTTTCCATTCTTCCTACTAAGAAACAAGCAAAGAACATTCCTCACACAATGCAGGCATATTTTTTTCTAGAAACACGATCTAACTAGTAAACTGCTGACCGGGGAAGTCGGTTCAATTCCCTGCTCACTTACTCATGCTCTGTTACTTTCAGTGTTATTTTCCCATTTTTTTTTGGTAATAGTACTTTCCTTTTTCTCAGGGATTAATAAATTAAAATGGCAGAAGGCCACTGTATGTAGTTATAGTAGGAGCCATCACACAAAACTGATGAATCTCCTAAAAGTTAGCAATTAAAGAACTCGGAGCTCTTCTGCCCGCCTGAATCCACTCTCTATTTACCCTCTCTTGTACCGTAACTCCCAACCATTCATTTTTTCAATCTCTTGCAAATGTACTAGCTAGCTCTCCCCATGCCACAGCCACAGCCCCCCTACCTGATGCCTCTTTTAAGTAGCTGGCTCCATGTCTCCGTGCTCCTCTTGTCTTGGTTGCTCTTCTCTTGCCTTCCTGCCCTCTTTCAGCACGGGAGAAGCATCTCCACACCAAGCTCGAGCCTCTGCAGTCGGAGGGATCACCAGGAGCCCCACAGCTGACTGAAAGGACACCTGCTTCGGCACTGCCTGCCTCTCCACACGCTGCAGAGGGAGGAGCTGCCCTGGAGATAAAAGGCAACAGCTCCACCTCTGAATACTACAGCTTCATGCCCCAATGCTGCTGAGCCTTCCTGTTCGGACTGCCAGTCCTTCTCCGACCTGCCAGGCTCCAAAAGGTTGTCCTGAAGAGACTGGAAGTAGGCTCCCTGGTTACCCTACCCGTTGGCTTCTTGGAGAAAGGACAGAAAGGAGAAGCACCTACAGGTTTGTTAAGCCTCTGGGAACCGGGGCTTCGCATGTAAATATCAGCTGTCAAATGTTTTTTAATTTCTGTCCCCAGCAGCTGTAGAAGAAAGCCTGAGAACCTGATCAGGGTGTACCCTGAAGCCTTGAAACCAGAAATCAAATAAGATCTGGAATGGTTTATGTCATGATTTTTAGGACTAATTCATTGTGTGTTGAAAGCAGACGTGTTATCATTACCTGTACCTACAGCAAGCATTGTATCCTTATGGAAATTGAATTGTTTGGGACCCATCTGAACATGACACTGTCCTCTGAACAAGCTGGATGCCTCCCTATCTTCCCCTAGGCATCTAACCATGATTGGAATATCTGGGAGAAGGAACCTGCTTCCAGAGGCAAAGTCATCAATTTCACTAATCAAGTTAATTAAAATAGTAATTTGTGACTGAGTTAGGCTTCTGTTTTTAGTACTATTACTACAGAATCACAGAATGGCCAAGCTTGGAAGGGACCTCTGAAGATCATCTAGGCCGACCTCCCTGCCAAGCAGGATCACCCAGAGCACATTGCACAGGATGCATCCAGGCGAGTTTTGAATATCTCCAGAGAAAGAGACTCCACGAACTCTCTGGGCAACGTCCTCCAGTGCTCTGTTACCCTCATGGTAAAGAAGTGCCCCCTCATGTTCAGCCAGAACTTCCTGTAGAATTTTTTTAGACCATATACTCAATTTTTTTTTCCTCCCACACTGATACTTACAGATTTTCTCCAAGTGGGTATTATGTGTGAGACTGGATTTGATGAACAACAAAGGATACTGAAGCTGGGTGTTACCCAAGTCCAAAACTAATGTGCATTTTTTTTGAATTATGAAATATGTACTTACTAATTATTGTCTGTATTATTTTGAGTGTATATGGCAGTGTACAGTCATGTGAGTTGCACCAAAGCTGACTGTTGCAGCTTCTCTGAACCTGTTTCGTGGGAGGAGCTTGGGTACGTTTGTTTGCTGTTCAAAGGCAATTGAAGGCTTGAATTCAAAGGCATTGCTCAGCATGGCCACGGGAGGGCACTAGAAAAAAGAAAATGGGCAAAAAACCAATGGCATCAGCTCTGCTTGCCCTCAGTAACAAGAACAAATGAAGGTCCAACAGGTCACAGGCCATTTCTGTATAAAAGGGAAACCAAAACTGAGAGGTCCTGCCGGCGCCAAGGTGTGAAGCCTGCCAAGCACCAAGGAGCAGAGAAAGGGCTGGAGGTACCCAAAGGATGAGCTGGGGATGCACCAAGTGGAATGGGGGCAGAGACCACGAAGTGCAGCTCTGGCTGAGCCCACAGCTAGACAAATGCGCACAAGTGACTGGAAAGACCGTGTTCATGCTCCATACAAAGGCTACAAAAGAGAAAGAGAGGACAGGGCTGAATAAAGAGACTGGCTTTTTCCAAAGCACTTCCCCACTATGTATCTCGTTTCACAGAGACTTGGGCTATCTTGATAAAAAGACATCCAGTGGCCCTATCAAACTTTCAGTGTAGGTAAGCATCAAGAAAAAAATCTATATATATTTTTATAAAAAAATATTTTTATATTTTTACAAAATATATTTTTATATTAAAATATATACATATATATAAATATATATCTCCACCTGGAAATCTCAGTTATTTAGCTGAAAACTCAATGCACCTGAGGAGGAATTGGTAGGTACTTTACAGTGCACTGCAATACATTTGAATGCATGTGAAAATCAACTTCCCTGAACCACAGCTGTAATTTGCTGGACGAGATAAACCATTCCAGATGTCAGCCTCCATCTTTTGAACCTCAAACTTATTTCTAATGTTTGTCTTTCAAAATTAAAAGTGTTTTTGCTTACATAGCATCAAATGTAGCCTGTATAAAGACAAAAGCCTATTCCTGATTTATTTATTTATTGTTTCCACAGTGAGTTGTATCTGAGAATGGAACTCAATTTTTCACTGATCTTCTCAGAGTTCTGGAGACAGCATGTGCTCACTCACCAGACACCAAACAGCATGCATAAGTGGTCATTGGAACTTGACTTGCGGTCTGCAACCAAACTCTTCATTCTCTCCATCAGTCCAGACCAGCTTGGTCTACACAAGGACACGCTATACTGAAAGTAAAGATAGCCACTGAACTAACTTGGCCAGTGGGCCCGCTGGTTATCATTAACTTGCTCCCTGGCTCAGGTCAGCTCTAACCATGCCCAAGAGAAGCTGGGGGCACAACTCCCTTCAGTGACTTCATGCACAGAAGCAGTATTGATGAAACTGCTCCTTTCATCGCACATCATCTCCTGTACACCTCACTGGATTCGTGGCATAAATCAGCTATCTGCAAAATCACACTTAGAAAGCATCACAGGAGTGGGCTACAACAGCACACAGGCATTATTTTAAAAAGCTTTGAATTGCAAAAAATACATACCAAGTTAATTATCAAAATAGTAATAAGAATGCCTGCCCTCTTGGCTCCCAGTCATAGAGTCATATGGGACCAAGAGGAGTAAATGCAATTTTATTCCAAGCCTCTGAAGCTCACTGTGGTCATATAAGAACAGCAGGATTTGGCCCTCCAGGGTCATCACTGTTATTACTTAGATTACAGTAGCACAGAGCAACACCACAGAGCTGCCACCCGTCTGCTCATGATGGGGCTCCCCTGGCCTTAAGAGCTTACAGTCTAAGTAAGACCAGGTAGACAAGTGGAGTGAGAAAGAAAGCACTTTTATTAGGCTCAAGAGATTAAGAAACTTGCCCAAGGACACATACAAAGCCTTTGACAGATCCAGGAGTTTAACCTAGATTTCAGCATGGCTCCTTGATGGTAAACACCTATCTTCTCCCAACTTCTGAGTATCTCTTCAGCTGGGATTTAAAGTATACTCTGTGTCCATAAAGCATCACCAGAGATGCTCTCGTATAGCATAAGATTATTCTGACAGCCTTTGCATGAAGAGAGATCACTTTTTTTGCCAACTAAGTCGGAAGAACACAGATGGATGAACAAAGTCAGTGGCAGGTGAAAGCCTTTAATTCGAGGGCAGACTATTGCTTCACCAGCTAAACTAAAAAAACACACAGTACAAAAATCCACTTGACAGAAACGTTACTCATTAACATTCCTTCTATATCTACCACGAATGATTTCTTCAGAGTGCCCACGTGAATCCGACAGGACACTGCCTCCCCTTGCAAGCTCCCCACAGGGTACCTCAAGGAAATGATGACCTCTAATGGTAAATAACTCATTTTCCAACACATTTTTTTGGCCGCAGGTCCCTCAGCCGAGGGCTGGGCTCCCCCCGCGCTCAGCCCCAGCTCCCCCTGCCCAGCCACCGCCGTTCAGCCCACACCTTCCTACCTGTAGTAGCGACGGAGTAAAAGCCCAAACTGGCCTCATCCCCTGCCATAAAGCCCCGGGGAGCAGCAGAGGTGGCTCAGAGCCGCCCCTACAAGCCCAGCCCGGCCCCACAGGGACCTACTCCCGCTGCCCCCCTCCCCGGGCAGCGCAGCCCCGTCCCCGCCTGCTGTACCTGACCCTGTCCTTCTCCGCCCGCCGGAGCTCCGAGTCCCTCTGCAGCACCTGGAAAATCGTCCTGGCTTCGTCCTCGCTTAAAAAACTGAGGTCGGGCCCCCGGCAAGCCGCGCTCATGGCTCCGCTCACCCCCGGCAGGGGGGCAGCGCCGGCCCCCTGGCAGCGCGGCGCCACAGCGGCATGGCCGAGCCAGGGCACGACAGCGCCCGGCCGCCGCCCGCCGCCACCGCCGCCGCTTCCCTCCGGAGGCCACCCCCGGTTCCCTCTGGAGGCGGAGCGGGGCGGGGAGAGGCGGAGAGGCAGCCCCAGAGCCTCCCCCGGCCCTATAAAGCCCACTCCGCGAGGCAGCGGTGGGGCGCCGCGGGTCCGGCCGGGGCGTTGTGGTGTTTGCTCTCCTTGGGGAGAAGTGGTGGAGATGCACAGCCCTCTTTCCTAGCTGCTGGAGCACAAGAGATTTGCCCTTCCTTCAGTCTGCTCTCCCAGAGACCCAACCAGCATCGCTCATGGCTCAACTCTGGTCCCTTTTGGGGCTGTCTGGAGCTGGATCTGCCCTGACCTGGGGCAGCTGCTGGGCTCTGCTCACAAAGCCCACCCCCGCAGCCCCCTCTACCAAACCCTTGCCACCTAAACCCATTATATTAGTACTGAAATGCCCTTTGAAATACGTTGGTCAAAGAAGGGCTTTATTTGGGATCGAACCGCAGATGTGATCACAAAAGCAGACACAATTCTTTCTATGGAAAATTGAGGTGGTGGATAGGGCACGGTATGAGCAGGAGCAGGGCCGAGCTGCATGCAGACACCTTCCCACCCCGCAGCAGGCTGACGTGGGGCCGCCGAAGAATGCTTCCCCACTAGGAAGTCGTGTTGGGCAAGTGGAAATAAGGACCTCAGAGCACAGCGGGAATAACAGGTTCCAGGAGGCTCCTGATTTTGGTGTAGCTTCTGGCATCACTCGTCTGGCCCAAAGAGGAGTTTACCGATTCCTGGTAATGAAACAACAAAAACAAGGCTATGAGACAACTGATGAAGAACGTAATGAGAGCGTGAAGGATTATGCTGCTGAGAAGATGTTGGGAGGAGGTGTCTCCAACAGAAAAAAGACACAGAGGATTTTTAGTAGGGTACAGGACACGCTTCTGGGTAAAGTCCAAACCTGTTATTTCAAAAGATGCAAGAGCCACCCCAGTCATCACTGCTGCATCAGCAGCTTACAGATCTTCTCTCTTTGGGCAAACATCCCGTCCTCCCTGTTCTGTTGTGTTGAGCACAGTGGAGTGACTGTTTCATTACATACTCAGCCATCATACCTGCAATCTGGCATTTTCTTTTCTGCTTTCAGAAGTTCCCTATAGGCTGGAAAGAAGCTACAGAAACGGAATATCAGGTTGCAGACTTTCCGTCATGTATCCTTCATGGCTATGTTCCAGCAGAAGAAGCTGAGTGCACGGCATTCTCCTGGGAGTCTCCCAGGCAAAGGATTAGACATCACTCTCCCTTTCTACCTGGCACCTACAGGGTATGGGAAGCAATTGCTCACGGTGCTTCTGCATCACACTGGCAGGGCTGAGAAGGACCATGATGACTTTTCTCTAGATCCACTGCAATGCACTCGATTCAAATCTGGCAGTTTGAAAATAACAGATTTAAGCTAATTGTCTGAAAAGATGTCTGTTACTAGTGTGAGCATTTTTTCAGGGCCACAAGTCAGGGCCTCATCAATACCCTCTGCTGCCTTAGAAGTCATGTTTTATGTATATATATATTTATTATTTTTATTTTTTACTTGTTATGCAAACCTCTAAAAATACATAAATACATACATAGAGTCCATACAAAGTACATGGGTGTTCATATGGGTTTACTAAGAAATTAAACACTACTTCATAAAGAAAGAGTCCACATCCCCCACACGTAGTTTGCTTACTTTGTAATTGTATATATCCTACAATAATTTTAAGAATTAAATTCATATTTTTAGGTTTCTGCAAATCTTTTTCTTCTTTTCTAGCAATCTGACTTTTTTTTTTTCTTTTTAATCACCAAGTCGTATGTTAGAATACAATATTTTCAGTGCAGAGGGGAACAGGGAGAAGACCCTCATTTTGTATATAAGCAATGTGTAGCCTTTCAGGTAATAATGAGAAAGAAATAAGTTTTTCATTCTCTACTAAGTGACAGGATTATTTAGTAGGGTGTTGAGTAGGTACACTAGGGCCTCCAGAAAGATTCTGCCACACATCACTGTAGTTATAACTTCATGCACTCTAAATCCAGAATTTTTAGAGATTTGAGTATAAACTTGGGCATCTGGTAAAAAGACCCTCATTTTACACAGCTTCTTTAGCATGCTATATCACCACTACAAAACATGTATTGGATCATGACTAGAAATGGGTCCTGTCTATGGAGTCATTTGTCACATTCTTATTTTGTGGAGAACAACCACCTTTCCATATCTCTTCATTACTCCTTCTCAGTTTAAAGATTATGCCTTTTTCATATACAGATCATGATGGCAAGAAAATACCACCTGCATTCCAGTATTTAGAGTCTCTAGCACCTCATGTGCTTTAATTTCTGTTGCATAAACTCAAGACAGGATACAGGCTCTAAAACTTTTTCCATGATTTTAGCTAAGAGCTGTTCCAGGAAGCTACAGAAGTGTTTTCTTGTAAATATGCAGCATTTCTTCTGTTTAGCAACCTGAAACAGAGGGCCAAAATAACATATGAGATGCTGCAGACATGAGACATGTCTATTAGTAATGTTAATTGCCAATGCCACTAAAGAGGATGCTGACACATACCTTAATTACAGGGCAAATTCTTCAAAAACTGCACTTTACAAATACTGTTGTACTAATGGGCGGTGTTAACTCCACTTACTCTCAGTGGAAGATTTCAAAGCGTAGAACTGCAGAAAGCCAGAGGGTCTGTTTCTGTAAGCTGATCTGTAGCTGGAGAATAGAGGGGAATGTGCAGCAGGGTTGGTTGCATCTTATAGCAATTGGCCTTGAGCCTTGGAAGAACTGTAAGGTCTTGTCTAATCCTGTTGGACTAATTACTGTGTAAATTGTCACGCAGATTAGTGAAGGCTAGTTTAATTAACTCCTTGCGCTAAGTGAAAAAGCCTTCATGGCCATGCAAAGAATAAATATGAAGCGTCCGTCATTTAAAATGTATTAAATCTGCTCATTGTGTTCGAAATAAAAATTTCCAACACTAACCTAGGTCAAAAATAGTTTGATCAAAAGTGCTCTCAAAAACAAAAGCCGTGCCTCTCACTGTGTTTAATAAGCCCATCATTTATATCTCAGTTTACTGTAATAGTGGTGATTGAGCTATTGCATTAAGTTAACTAATTGTCCTGCTGAGTTTCACGGGACACAGTGGGTTGCAGTGTGTGGTTCCCACTGCCACATGTAGACATTTCCACTCAACAGTGTCCTGCAGGATCCTTAACTGGGCCCTCAGCTACCACTTCAAAAAGATCTTAAGACTTTCATTTAGGCATTTTAACTGTGAAGTGCTGCACTTTGAAGAATGCCTGGATGTCAACATCCAAATGCTGCTCGTGTTATTATAGCTGTTTGTGCACTACACAACCTCTTGTGAGGCAAGCCGGGAGCCAGGCCTGGGCTGAGCAGGTTGCAGAGCGTAGGCCATTTTGTCCACCCTGAAACCGCCACAGGCACCGCAGGGAAAGTCAATCTTCGAGGTACACCCCACTCACAAGTCAAATCTTGCAGCCTGCATGGCTGCAGACTGCCCCGTTTCACAATTTCCTCAAGCATTTCCTCTCGCAGAGCCTCTCATTCACCTTCTTTGCTTTTCCTCCCAGTCACTTGAGTATATGGGCCTCTCCTTCTCCCAGTTTTAGACTCTGGTCTGCTGACATGTTGGCTTTCTGCGCCATTGAACTACTCACTGCTTTTGTTTCCTCTCATCTTAATAATATATATTAGCACTGCATGCCGGCAAGGAGAATTGGTCATGAGATGTCTGCCAAACAGAGTCTTATGAACTTAACAGACTTAAGACATGGAGTCTTATCCTTGCACTTTTTGACACTGTTTTCCTTGTATTTGGTGCTGCTTTGGACAACGAGGCCTTGACATCCCTTCTGTTTGCTTTTTGCTCGTGCATGGATGTCTGTCCTTTCTCCCTCACTTCTAGGATTCAGATAATGACTAGTTCCGCTGTGAGTACCCTTCAGGACTGCACTTTCTCTGGGCTGGAGGCAAAATTGTGAACAGGATCCCTCATGGGGCAAGACAGGTTGGGATTTTAGGGGGTTGCTATAGGGGACTGTGGCCTGGAGAGGTATATGAAGAAGGAAGAAGGTGCTTACCTGTACGTCTCTGTACAGAAGTATAATGGCACTGCTTGAAGGAATGTGTTTTGTTGAAATGATACAGGATTTCTGCTTCATCAGGGGATACTCACATGTCTGGTGTCCTGACTGACAGAGCCATAGGTTGGCTAGTACTGTATGTAACATCTATTCTCTTGGCAGAAACTATGTAACCTTCTCTTCCTCCTTAAATAATATGCACATAAGCATAATCACCAGAGGCCAGTACCTGGGACACAGCACAATTAAGCATTTAATATATTAAGGTTATATGCCAGTGCATGCAACCTATTAAGACAGGCTTGAGTAAAGGTAAGAGGAATCAGGCGTGACTAAGCAATAAAGAAGGGCTGCTATTATAATCAAGAAAACAACCTTCAGAATGCTAAAGTCATATCCAAGTGAAGAAACTAGAAAAGTTTAAAAATCCTGGCTGATAACATATGAAAATAAAATTAAGCAGACAAAAAAAAAAAAAAAAAAAAAAAAGAGGAGGAACAACTTTAAACCAGCACCAAATCAAGATGTGGTGTCTGAGCTTCAGACACATCAAGAAGCTCATCAGAGAATCTGTAGGGCCTGATCAATGAT